TGTATTTTAAGAAGCTTTTCAAACCAAAAGCAAAAAGAAGACATTAGCAAACAACTGGGACTAGCTTTCTTTCTTCCTCTAGGCTTGGATTGGTTATGTAACTAAGTAATTTGTCTGTTAACTCTCTGTCTTCTGGATGCTGGGTACACATGGTTCTCTTCTGTTTCTCTCATTGTAGCAATCATCTGTGTGCCTCTTCTCTTGAACATATACATTCATAGCAGATTTTGATTTGTAAGTTAAAAGATAATTTTCTTCCTTCCTTTCTTTCTTTCCTTTCTTCTTTCTTTTCCTTTCTTTCTTTCTTTCTTCCTTCTTCCTTCCTTCCTTCCTTCCTTCCTTCCTTCCTTCCTTCCTTCCTTCCTTCCTTCCTTCCTTCCTTCCTTTTCTTTCTTCTCTGATTTTATTTCTTTATTTGATAGAGCACACAGAGGGAGAAGCAGGCTTTACCAAGCAGGGAACCTGATATGGGGCTTGATATCAGGACCCCAGGATCAGGACCTGAGCCGAAGGCAGGCGCTTAGCCAACTGAGTCACTCAGGGGCCCCAAAGATAATTTTCTGACTGATTAAATGTGGCACTGGTTCCTTCTTGATGAATACAGGACAAGTTCAGAACAGAAAGGGAGCTTTCTCCACAATAGACTACAGGGAATGCAATGTCTGGGAGGATTCTCAGCTGAAACTGATGAACAATGGATTCTCTGTTGTGTCTTCTGCAGAAGTCTTATTTCTAAGTTTGGGGACTCCCTTCACATTTCGTCCAGGAGCCACTGCTGTCCTGACTTGCTCCTATCCCAGAGCAGCCCAGTGTCCCCGACCTGCTGAAAGCTTTGTCACCACCACTTCCCTTATCTGCCAAGTGCAGTGGCCACCGTGCCTGGAGCCAACCATACTTTCAGCGGCCCACCAAAAAAAGGTTTTACCTTCTTCTAAAATCAAAAGGAAAATAAAGGGAGCACCTGGGTGGCTCAGTGGTTGAGTATCTGCCTTTGGCTCAGGTCGTGATCCCAGGGTCCTGGGATCAAGCCCTGCATTGGGCTCCCCACAGGGAGCCTGCTTCTCCGGCTGCCTATGTCTCTGCCTCTCTCTCTGTGCCTCTCATGAATAAATAAATAAAATCTTAAAAAAAAAAAAAAGAAAAAAAAAAGAACTTTCACATCAAATAAACTATCTTAATATGGTAATATTTATATATTTGTCCTTATACTAACACAGCCTTGAAATGTAATTTTTAGTAACTTTTTTGTGTGCAGAAAAAAGGGGCCTATGAAGGCAGGAGTGCCTAGGGCCTGTGAAGACCTTTGAGAGTAAGGTGGGGCCAGTCACTTTGCCCTCTCTCCTTCTGGACCCAGTATATTGTTTCAGACTTGCTTTTCCCTCTCATCATTTTGAGAGTTTATTTAGATTTCCTCTTCAACCTTCCTCATTGTTCTAAAGTAGAGGATATGACACTGCTCCGTTACTAGAATGGCTTCTATTATATCTACGACTAGAATATAAATATCCAAATGACACCAGACCTGGTAGGAATTGTCAAAAGCAGCTGATTCTCGCAGCTGATGCAGGCTCTCCTCTGTGGGAACCTCTGTGGTCATCCTGCCAGTGTGACATGAATCCTGTCACTGAGATGGGTGCTGGTTGAGGCCCAAAGCTTGCCGGCACACCCTGGACCATGGACTGGTGCCACCAGGTCGCTGCCACCGCCACTGTGCAGTGGCCTCTTGGCGTCCCTTTGCACCTTGGGGACACTGGCATGGGAAGAAGTTTTTAAAATAGCTGATGTCTGAGTTATCCAAAAACAAACAGAAAAGGTTTTTGCTTGGCTGAACAGGACAGTTTATTTTATAGTAGTTTTAATCCATTCTCCTTCAGAGCAGCACCAGATCCCCAGAAATCTTCTGTGTGATTTTTTTTCTTTCCTGTAACACATTTGAACAAAACTTGGGTAACTCTAGACCCTGTATGATATACAATTTTATAGTGCTTCTAATTGTTTCCATCTGGGTCCCTTTCCAGGCCTCTAGCTTCACTTCTTTTCCAGTGGGTGCTTCCGGCTTCCCTCAGCACTTTTCATTCCCTATTCCCCTCTTAAATGAAATCAGAAAATGTGTCTAAGGGAAACTGAATAAGTACTTAGCTGCTCTGTTGTTCTTACAGAAAACTCGGGGTGGCAGAGGAATTCTGAGCGTGACCCCACAGGAGCAAGCTGCTGTGATCATGGAAGACAATGTTCTCTGCAGTAAAAGCACTGGCTGGGTCCTGGAGGCCTGGGTTCTACTCTTTGTTTCTTGTTACCTTACTGTGTGACATTTCTCTTCACCCTCTGGACTTGGGTTTCTCATTTGTCAAACGAGGTATCCAACATTTCTAGCAAGTCTACAGAGCACAGTACAGAGAGAGGAAGAGCCACAGCAGTTTGGGCGACTTTCTCTGGGATAAGTAAACTTCTTCTCATCCCAAAGAGTATTACCCACTTTGGAAATCACCTAGAGTGGCCTAATCCCCAGTCCTGGGAAAACAGAGAGCATGCAGGAGTAGGGAGCTGAACGGAGAGCTGGAGTGTCTCAGTGCCTCAGACTGTTGGCACAAGCACGTGCAAATGGAACCAATTTCAGGGTGACCTGTTGTTTTATGCAGTGTGTGTCTTCTCTATTTTTTTCCTTCTCTCCTAAAAAGACTGAAGGCCCCAGTATATTCTGCAGGAGGTAATCTCAAAGCTAGAAACAACTTCACTTCCTCAGCAAACAACCAGTGAAGTCCTTTTTGATCTGCCATCATACTCAACCTCAATGCTTTGCTAAGCTATAATTCATCCAGGTAGCATTCATGGAGTATGCTTAGAGTTGAGGGTAAGAAGATCACCTCTGGCTTCTTAGAAAGTTTCTTTTCATCCTTTCCTCTCTACAATCTATCTTCATAAAGAGTCAGAGTGATATTTTAAATATGTTAGATCATGTTGCTTCTCTGCTCAGCACCCTCCAGTGGCTTCCTTTGTATTCAGGATAACATCCAACCCCAAGATTTTTTTTTTTTTTTATTACAGGGCCCCTGCAGGGTCTTACCAATCCTACTCCTCTGACTGTACCCTTCTGACTTTTTGTGGTTGCAGACACCAACATGATTCCTAAAATGGGACCTTTTTGCAGCGTGGCAGTGGAAAGGACCTGAGGCACAGGGGATTGAGCTGACAATTCTCAGATAAAGGCACATTGTCATCAGAAGTCCCTTCTTTTGCTTTGTATATGTATTCTTCTTTATTCCCTGTTCCCCAGTTCCCAATTTTATTCCATTTCTGCTTGCTCCACAGATCACCAATCTCAAATGTCTAAAGTGTATTTTTCCCTGTGTATGTGCTGCAGCAGAAAGTGATATTTTGTGGGCATGTATTTTAAATGTACATGACAGGGGCGCCTGGGTGGCTCAGTGGTTGAACATCTGACTTTGACTCAGGTCATGATCCTGAGGTCCTAGGATCAAGTCCCGCATCAGACTTCCCATGGGAAGCCTGCTTCTCCTTCTGCTTATATCTCTGCCTCTCTCTCTGTGTGTCTCATGAATTAGTAAATAAAATCTTAAAAAAAAAGTACATGACATATTTTATGCTTTTCTCACCCTGCACTAGGTTTTTGAGATCCAGCCATATTGTTGTAGGCACATTTGGTCATACTGTGAGCACATTTTATTTTTATTAAATTAATTAATTAATTAATATTTTATTTTTATTAAAGTTTTTTTTAAACTTATTTGAGAGAGAATGAGAGCACAGAGGGAGAGGGAGAAGCAAGGAGCCTAATGTGGGGCTGGATCCCAGGACCCTGAGATCATGATCTGAGCCAAAGGCAGATGCTTTACTGACTGAGCCACCCAGGTGCCCCATGTGAACACATTTTAACTGTCTACTCTTGCAAGGATGGACACCAGTTGCCTCCAACTCCCCACCTCCAGAATAATGATTCAGTGAACACCATGACACCATGTGAACCTGCATGCTGGACCATAAGAGTGTGCTTGCTGGACATAGGGCATGCAACATAAAATACATTAATTTGCATTAGTAGTGGCAGATTGCTTTCCAGAACAGCCTCATTGGCTATATTCCCTCAGGGCCTTTGCACTTGCTATTCCTTAAGTCTGAAATAATTGTCCCCTGGGCTCTTGAAGGGACTTTCTTCTTCTCATCACTGAGGTCTCAGCTCAACTATCACTGCCTGCCAGAGGCCTTGCCGGATCTCAGTTATTCCCACAACACGCTCTCCCCATTACGCTCTACCATTTTTATTTCTATTTGTTACATCATAGCATTTTTCACCATTTGACATTATCTGTGATCTTTTTATTGTCTGTCTTCTCCACGACAGCAGGGGATGCTGTCTTGTTCACTTGACATCTAATGTAGCCCTAGCCTATGGTAGGCTCTAAAGAAATATTATTGAATAAATGAATGAAACAATTATAATAAATAAATGGTATTGTGGTATCAACCTGTTCAAAGCTCTATGGTTAGAAAAGCAAGGAACATAACAGGTGTGAGAGGTGGAGAGTTTCTATAAAGGGTCCTAAACGACAGATAGGATGCACTCGGCTACATTTTACAAGTCCACACGTTTATAGCTATCCCGTCCCCTTTTTAATTTTTTTTAAATTTTTATTTATTTATGATAGTCATCACAGAGAGAGAGAGAGGCAGAGACATAGGCAGAGGGAGAAGCAGGCTCCATGCACCGGGAACCCGACGTGGGATTCGATTCCGAGTCTCCAGGATCGCGCCCTGGGCCAAAGGCAGGCGCTAAACCGCTGCGCCACCCAGGGCTCCCTCCGTCCCCTTTAAAAAAAAAAAAAAAAAAGTTTCCGCTAAGCCGCCCCCTGCCCCGCCCCCCACCCCGGCCCGGCAAATCCCAGAGAGCCCGCAGGGGGGCGCCCAGACCATGCTGGCCGGGGAGACTAAAACTACATTTCCCAGCATCCCGCGCGCCGCCGACGCACTTCCGGAGTCCGCGGTAGACATGGCGGCGCCCGAGGAGCACGATTCTCCGGCTGAAGGGCCTCAGCCGGCGGTGCAGGAGGAGGAAACGAAAACGTTTAAAGATCTGGTGAGCGTGGATGGCGCCGGCTTCTCTTTGTTTTGCTGGCAGCAGGCTCAGGCGGAGTCCAGCTGCCTCGCATCCCGGCTGGTGGTGTACAAAAGCAGCTGGGGCCTGGCTTGGGTTTCCTTCAACATTTCCGGAACTTGGGTTTCGGACGCTGCCCCTAGGCCTCCGGGTTTGAACGGTGGGAAGGCTGCCCATCCCTGAGGGTCCCCCTTTGTGGCGACGTCTGTATTGGCCAGGAGGAGCTTGGACTCCTGCCAAAGTGTCGGGCTTCGGAGTGAGATGAAACGGGTTTGGATTCCGACCCAGTCCCTTACTAGGGGATGTTACCTCGCCGTGCCTCACTTTGCACATCTGTAGATTGGGGGTAATAACAAGTGCTTCACAGAATTGTAAGGATTGCATGAACTAATAGTACATGTGAAGAACTTGGCTTTTCTCTTTGAGTGGAAAGTGCCACGTCTTGAGGCGCGATCTCCTAGTGCGCGTAATAGGGGAGGAGACCGAGCAGGCTCAGTACCCTTTGAATCAAAGGGTAAGGGATGCCCACGACACCGGCAAGGTGGTTCTGACAGTCGTTTAATCAGCAGGGAGGCAAGTGTGTGTGTTCTTCTTTGCCTAAGTGTGTTTTTCTGAATTCTAAGGGTGTGACAGATGTGTTGTGTGAAGCTTGTGACCAGTTGGGATGGACAAAGCCCACAAAGATCCAGATTGAAGCTATTCCTTTGGCCTTACAAGGTAGGCTGAAATGAAATATGTGGCTTACCCACAGGTATAATAAGAAATTACACTCAATTAAATCCTTTACTACTTTTGAAAGCTATTCTTGTGTAGCTCAAGTGATATAAAAACATGATCACTAGGGACGCCTGGGTGGCTCAGCAGTTGAGCGTCTGCCTTTGTCTCTGGAATTTCAGGATCGATTCCCCACATCAGGCTCCTGCGTGGAAGCCTACTTCTCCTTCTGCCTGTGTCTCTGTCTCTCTCCGTGTGTCTCTCATGAATAAATAAATAAAATATTAAAAACAAAAACAAAGACATGATCTCTAAAGATACAAAATTTGTGGCTTATTGGCTTTGAAAAAGTAATGCTCTTCTATTGAGGTTACTTTCTACAAGGCGATTTGTTGTTTGCAATAGATGCTGACTTTAAGGAAGCACTGGATTAAAGTGTACTAACAAGAAACCTGTTAGAAATTATGAGTCAAGGGGCACCTGGATGGCTCAGTGGTTGAGCATCTGCCTTTGGCTCAGGTTGTGATCCCAGGCTCCTGGAATGGAGTCCCACAACGGACTTCCCTCTGCGTATGTCTCTGCTTCTCTCTCTGTGTTTCATTAATAAATACATAAAATCTTTAAAAAAAAGATATTATGAGTTAATAAATGCAGATTTACATAAGAGTGCCTGGAATATCAGTTGGTATCTAGAGGAGTTGAGAGATCTTGCTTTGTGAGACATATTTATCAAATTTGCAGAAGAATGGCTAATATTGGTTGATGACTAGTGGGATCGAAACAGGATAAACTTTCTAGGAGTAAGGGTAAGTAAGAGTAAGTGCTGCTTTTATATTCCCAAAGTCCAGCTTCACAGGATTAGGATTGGTGGTAAAAGAGGCCCAGCAGTGTTAACTGATATTCATTAAGATCCTTAGAGAAAATGAGTATAATCATAGCTACATTAAGGTTTTTTCCCCAGGAAAAAATGTATAAATGTATCTTTACATAGAATTTACCCCCTCACCCTGAATTCCTCTCCCGCATATCCCATGTTAGGAACTTCTGAACTAGCTCGAGAGAGAGAAAAGTGCCTTGTGCTGATTAGAACACACCTAGAATATTATGCTTAGTTCTGGGGATCAGTTTTGAGGGACCAACTGAGTGGTACTGGATGTGGTATAGTATCAAGAATAGTCCTGGGTTGCTTGGGTGGCTCAGTCAGTTAAGTGTGTGCCTTTGGTTGAGGTCATGCTCTCAGGGTCCTAGGATTGAGCCCCACATCAGGCTCCCTGCCTAGTGGGGAGCCTGCTTCTCCCTCTCCCTCTGCCTGCCACTCTGCTTGCTTGTCTTCTCTCTTTTCCTCTGTCAACTAGATAAATAAAATCTTAAAAAAAAAAAAAGAAGAAGAAGAAAAAAAAGGAATAGTTCTAAATGGGGCAGTTGGTTGAGCTTACTACTCTTGATTTTGTCTCATGTCATGATCTTGTGTTCCTGGGATTGAGCTCCAAGTAGGACTACATGCCCGGTGTGACTCCATGCTTAGTGCAGAGTCTGCTTCAGATTCTTTCTCTCCCTTTGCTGTTCTCCACTTATCTTACTTATCTCCCAGTAATCTGGGATAGAGAGGTTTTGGATTTTAGCTAGGGAGAGGTGACTGCAGATTTGAGAAACATGGAAATAAAACCAACAAGACTTGTTCAATTTTTAAATTGATGGTAGACTGTTTAAGCAGTGCCTGGCATTTGTAGTTGTGTCTCCTTTGGATATTGGGCTTGCATGCTCTCTGTCTCTCTCAAATAAATGAAGTCTTAAAAAAGAAAAAAAGAATAGTCCTAAATAGCTAAAGGAGCTGAGTGCATTCACTCTGAAGAGTGGAGCTGGGTGGGATCTGATAATTGGCTTCAGGATTTGAAGAGCTGTCATGTGGAAAAGTAATTAAACTTACTCTGTGAAATTCCACTTGGTCCTTCCATAAATAGTATGTATCTGTTGTAAATGTAAGGCACAGAAGTTAAGATTCAGCCCTCTCCAAGAACTTGGAGACTAGTAAGGAGGTAATTATAAATCTATTACAAGGGACATAAAGTTATATTCCAAGTGCACTGAGGGAGTATAGTTTATTACTCATTGGAATGGATTAGAGAAAACTTTAGTTTTTGGCTGGGAGGGTTGGAAAGACATTTGAGCTGAACTGTGAAGACTGGATACAATTTAGACATTCATGTATGATGGCAGGGAGGACTTTCTAGGCATAGAGAACAGCATGGAAAAAAAAAAAAAACTAAGGAGGCTGGAAAACATGGGCATATGTGCAGGCCTGCACGTACTTAACAGAGAATGGAGAGAAAGATTAGTAGATCATTGGGGCCAGATTATGTCAGACTTAAATGCTGAGTAAAGGAATTTGGTCTTGTTCCATGGGCCGTGGAGTGCCTTTGGAGATTATTTTTTAGCAGGGGAATGAAATCCTTAGAGTTGTATTCTTGGAATATTAATCTCATAGCTTTGTAAGGTAGTTTAGAGATGAGGCACCAGAGGCTGGGAGACCAGTTAGGATGGCCTTGCAGTAATTTTGGCAACAAATAAAGGATAGGATAGTGGTAGTGAGAATGAAAAAGAGAAAATGATAGAAAAAGAATCATCATGATTTTATAACTAATTTGTTAATGGAAAGCAAGAGGTGGGGAAATCTAAGATTATTGCCTGTGTGTTTAGGACATATTACTGGTGTAAAAAGGAACATAGGAGGAAAAACAATTTTAGGGAAGAGGATTTCGGTTGGAAATAATTGATTTCAGGCATCAAAGAGAATTGACTAATGCACAGTTGGAATCTAGGGATTAGAGATTGCTTAAGAGGCCAGAACTGGCTACAGACCATGTCCAAAGGGAAGTTGTAGCTGAAACTGGACATGGGTGAGGTTGCCAGGTAAGGTCAAGAGAGGACAGAGGGGAGAAGTGGATGCTCAGTAGAGGGTTGAAAATCGTGAGAGTACAATTTCATACAAATTAGGTAAGGGAGAGTGTTTCAGGGAGGCGATAGTAAACACTTTGAACTTGTTTAGAGAAGCTAGGAGAATAAGGACTACAAGGGCCACGAACGAGGAAGACGTTTCGGCAGTCAGCACTGCTGGAGTTGCTTTCAAAGAGCAAAAAGAAGGGTTGGCGCATTCTGGCATTTTCTTGCTTACTCTATAGAATGTGTTGGCAGAAGGAACCCAAATTAGGTGGTGGTAATTCTGAAATTATTCATAATGTTTTCAGTAAAAAGTTTGTATTGAATGCAGAGAAGATAGGAGTCAGTGAAAGATTACTAGGAACTGAGTACTGTGATCGACATAATCATCATGCAAAAAGTCATTATTCTTATTCTTGAGCTTATCTCATTCCAGTGAGCAATTTATAAATGCTTCATTAAAAACACCTATACACACTGGCCCTAAGCAAGAGGTTTAAATAATCTAACAAAGTTTTTCTTTTCTCTATTAAATGAGCTTTAAAATTTTAGTTTGAGTACTATTGACTGTGTCCCTTTCCACAAAGTTACAGAGTCCTGGGTATATCCATTGTTCTTAAACCTTGTAACGATTCTGAAAGGCAGGAATGATTATTTTATTGGTGAAATTGAAGGTAAGCAGATTAAGTACCTTGACTAGAGTCACATAACTATTTCGTGGAGCTAGAATTTGAATATAGGATGTCCTAGCAGAAAAGCTTGCGTTCTTGGCCCTGTAACACAGTGTTACAATGGAGAGAACAAAGTCTTTTGATTTTTTTTTTAACAAGATTTATCTATCTATCTATCTATCTATCTATTTATTTATTTATTTATTTATGGGGTGGGGAAGTGGCAGGCAGAGGGAGAGGGAGAAGCAGGCTCTCCGCTGAGCAGGGAGTCCCATGTGGGGCTGGATCTTAGGACCCCGAGATCATGACCTGAGCCAAAGGCAGATGCTTAACCGATTGAGCCACCTAGGTGCCCCTTTTGATTGTTTTTGAGGATGCTTTTCTTCCCATTTGTTTCATGTATTAAGTTTATTTCTAATTCAGAGATCATTCACAGTCCTCTAGGAATTACAGACAGTTTTTTGAAAGGCTGCCACATACCATGCAGTGTGTTAGGTGTCGGCAATGTGGCCAAGGTGAATGAATTTATTGTGCCCTTATGGGGTGTGTATTCTACACAGATAGTACCACTGGAAAGACTTAGGGGTTGTGAGAGGAAGAAAGGAAATAATAGAGAAAAATTAGTCTCACAACGTGAATATTGTTTTGAGGAGATTATAGAGAACTAAAAGCAGTACAGGTGCAGGCCTTAACCTGCTGGCAGTGGGCATTGCTCACAGCCATGTGAATCAAGAGACTTAAACTCCCTTACTTCCCTAAATCTTTCTTGTATACTCCTTTCTTCTGAAATTTTAAGATTTCTTTTGACAGAAAAGGAGGAGAGATCCCTCTAATTTTTTTTTCTTTCTTTTTTTTTTTTTTTCCCCTTTTCCAGAAGGCTTGTTGTACCCCAGCAGGGAGGACAGAAACCCCAGAGTTGGAGAATAAAAAGCTTTGGAAGCCCTTAGCTGACAAATAGGTGGATGCTGTTGTAGTCCATTGTCACTTACCCTATAACCAAGAGGAACCTTAAAGTTAGTAAATGAAGGAGAAATTTTATCCTTATATTGTCATTTGTTTCTGTGACCTTTACAAAGTTAGTTGATTGTCTGGTCTGACTTATAACTCACCTCTACACCTGTAATTTTTTTTTTTAAGATTTTATTTATTTATTCATGAGAGACACAGAGAGAGGCAGAGACATAGGCAGAGGGAGAAACAGGCTCTTCACAGGGAGCCCAGTGCAGGACTCTATCCCTGGACGGGGATCATGCCCTGAGCCAAAGGCAGATGCTCAACTGTTGAGCCACCCAGGTGTCTCTACACCCGTACTTTTATATGGAAAGCATTGATGTTACTGTTTAGAAGGGTGAAGGGTGGCATTCACTAGAATATGCAGTGACTGATCTGGCGTGACTGATCCCAGTTTAAGTGATTAATGTCTAAGAGACGGATATTGAGGAGTCTGTTCTATTTGATATCACTCACTCTCCTCTCTTTTCAATTTCAAGTCAGTATTTTCTTCTTTTTTTTTTTTTTTTAAAGATTTTATTTATTCATGAGAGACAGAGAGAGAGAGAGAGGCAGAGACACAGGTCTCTGTGTCTTTGTCTCTGTATCTTTGTCTTTCTAACTATTCGTTCTCAGTTTCTTCTGGTTCCTTTTTTTTTGCAATGTTAATTCTATCGTTACTCTTTTTCTCACTCTAAAACAGTAGTAAGATTCTCATCCAATCCTGAATCTTTAACACTGTCTGCATCAGTGAATCTCAGTCCGTGGTCACCAGAATCACCTGTGGAACTTGTAAAACAATAAAACAATAGAGATTTCTAGACCCACTGAAACAGTTTCTACATGTGTGACCCTGGTGTGTAGACATATGAAAGTCTCATAGATGATTCTAATGCATCTGCCCTTAGAGGAGTACCACTGTTAGGATGCTCATGGCTTCCATGTCTGTGTTTCTAGCCTACCTTCTCTGCTGTGCTCCAAACAAGTATGTCCAACTCGTTTTTAGATATTTCTCTCTGAGCCTGTTGCATAAACCTCAAGTGCCCTATGTTCAAACCAGAGTCATTGTTTTCCTCACCGGAACTAATTTTCTGTAAGTCCTTATCCCTGATGTCAATTTATGGCCTTTGAGTTCCCCAATCTAGAAGCCCATGTGTCAACTACATTTTCTTGCATTACTTTCTACATCTCACTTATTTCTGTCCTCATGGCCTTCCCTTAGTTCAGACCGCCATCATAACTCCCCAGTATCCTAACTGAGCTCTCATTTTCCTGTGTGTTTCCCCTTCTGTTTGTTTAGGTCATTTTAGATCTTAAGGAAGAGTCATGTTCAGCTAATCTCAGAGAGAAGGAGTTTATTTTAGGATTAATCTCTAGGTAAGGAAATCTAAGCAGTTATATACAATCAAGGAATAATGTGAGCATCAACTAGAGGGCATTTTCAGTAGGAAGCATTCCCAGTGGGTGCTGTTACAGTGCACAACTATGTTTTGAGCTGCAGCCCACCAGCCTAGAGATGGGGGTCTTGTTTTGGGAGTTAATTTCCAAATTTTATAGTTGTAGCTTGATTGGTGATAACAAATCCTGGGGACTTCTTTAAGGGATTACTTATGGCATTTTCCCTCAGAAGAAGCAGTGGAAATGGCCTGTACTGTTGAGCTCCTTGGCTCTTTATGCCATCAGGCCTAGGGTTTATCTTGCAGAGGAGTAACATTGATCTTGATGTTCCCTGCTTAAAATTCTTCAGTTCCTCCCTCTTAAAGGAAGACACCAGAACTCCCTAGCATGGCTTATGAGTTTCCTTTCTAGCGTCATTCTTCTCCCTTTCCCTCCTTAACACTTCTGTGTTCTGATCACATTGTACTTCTCACTCTCCCTGCACCTGCTGTGTTCTTCAAAGCCTCCATCCTCTGTCCTGGTATAGGAATGTCCTTCCTTTCCTTTGCTTACTTCCAGATTTGATTTACCCATCACCTCTGTTAGCCTTTCCTGACTCCTCTGGGCTCTAAGTTATTCCTTCCTTTGTGTTTTAACTCTGTTTTGTAGGGGCTTATCTTAAAGCCCTTATCACATCGTACCGTCTTTGTATATGTCACTCCCAGATTTTGAGCTTATCTAGGACAGAGACCATGTCTTCTTCCTGCTCAGCCTCTCTCTCCCTCCACTTCATCAAATGTTTATTCGTTGTCTACTTTGTGCCCACATTGGGTCATTGTAGAAAATATGGAAATAATGCAAAGAGTATATCTTTGCTGTTAGATGTTTTCTTTTTCTTCCTAGGTCGTGATATCATCGGGCTGGCAGAAACTGGATCTGGAAAAACAGGGGCTTTTGCTTTGCCCATTCTGAATGCACTGCTGGAGACGCCCCAGCGTCTGTTTGCCTTAGTTCTCACGCCCACTCGAGAGCTGGCCTTTCAGATTTCAGAGCAATTTGAAGCCCTGGGGTCTTCTATTGGTGTGCAAAGTGGTAAGTGACTAAGAGGAGAATCACAGTTTCTTTCCAAGTTTAGAATGAGTGTTAAAGGAGAATAGAAGGAAGTGTTATTAACATGAGTTCATTGACCTTAAGAGCCAATTTGGTATTTTAACTTTGGGGAAAGTTATATAGGAAGAAAAATTTAAGTAGAAATCTAGCACTGACTTTAAAAGATGTTCAGTGAACTATGGAAAAAATAAAGGATCTCTCTTCTATAAATTTTTTTTTATTTTTGTAGCTGTAATTGTAGGTGGAATTGATTCAATGTCCCAGTCTCTGGCCCTGGCCAAAAAACCACACATAGTAATAGGTGAGTAATTCACAAAGGTTAAAGGCACTGGTGATGATAAATTGGAGGAAATCTACTGATGTTGGGCGTAACTTATTGGTGCGGAAAGACTTTGAAGAAAGGATTTTTGCGATTGTTTAATTTTTTTAATTTCTGAAAATTGGGGTTTGGGGGAGTGCTGTGGTTGGTAACTTTCTTTTTGTCCTTGTCCTTAAATATTGACCTTTTCCCCCAATGTTTCTTTTTTTTTTCCCCCCAACGTTTCTTGATAGCAACTCCTGGTCGATTGATTGACCACTTGGAAAATACAAAAGGTTTCAACTTAAGAGCTCTCAAATACTTGGTCATGGATGAAGCAGACCGAATATTGAATATGGATTTTGAGACAGAAGTGAGCATTCAATTTCTTTTTTCCTCTTTGGGCATCTCAAGTGCCCTGTTTCAAAATTTGGTTCATTGCACACCTACTTTATGTGGAATCCTGTATCAGCATCAGCTAAAAACATCTCTGCCACCTTTTCTCATTCTTGGTGCTCCTCACATTGTCAGTGCCTCAGCATCCTCTCTAGAATGTAGTTTGATTTTGATTTCAGACATGAGAAATTTCAACAGATTTCCTTTCCATTTGATTTGATGTATATCTCTCTCATACACTTTGAAAAGTCTTTATTTTCTGTCATCATAGCTGACCCAGTCATCATGTCTTAGTTGATGAACATTTATTCTTTACTTTTCCTTTAGAGTGGCTCTACTCTAATTTAAACTTCTTTTCTCTGAATGACATTTTTAAAAATAGCATCTGGGATGGTATCAAAAAGTACTTAAGATAAGTACTTATTATCTTAAGTAATATTCAGTAAATTTTAGCTGAATTGAATTGAATTTTTGAGTTCCCACAGGGATACTTTTAGTTTTGTACTCAGTCTCCTTCACAAAGAGCATTTGCCAGTGTCCAGTGTAAATGTTACATTGCTGTCCTTTTCCTCTTTGTGTCTTAGGTTGACAAGATCCTCAAGGTGATTCCCCGAGATCGGAAAACATTTCTCTTCTCTGCTACCATGACCAAGAAGGTGAAATTTTCTAGGACTTAACATTTTCTTCTTTATTAAGTAATAAAAACAATAACAATAATAAAAATAGAGCATTTAGGAATCTGTGTACTATTCCAAGCTTTCTTTCTGTAGGTGCAAAAACTTCAGCGAGCAGCACTGAAGAATCCTGTGAAGTGTGCTGTTTCCTCCAAATACCAGACAGTTGAGAAATTACAGCAATATTATCTTTTTATTCCCTCTAAATTCAAGGTGAAGTGTTTACTTTGATCATTCCTGCCTCTCCCTCTCCTTCCTCAGCAAAGCATCTGAAAGTGTGTCCACTTATGATTAGCTAAGAGCTGTGCTACTGTTTGTTTTAGAGCACATACTGTGCTTACATTTATCACTGATAAAGTCAAACATTCCGGGAATTCACAGCATGCTAAACCACAATAATGATGTAATTCCTTTCCAACCCCATTCTTGAAGTAGCTTTTCTTTTGTCTGCTGCTGATGTGCCTTTTTTATAGGCCTGGGACCCTAGTTTTGTGCTTTGATGGAAGGGCTTTTCCTGGTTGCTGGGTACAGGGAGTTGTGTTTGGCTTTAGGCTATAAGTGAAATTCATGGTTCACAAAGATGATAACACTGCTTCAGGAATGCAAAATGGGCAGCTAGGGTCTGGATAATTGGGAAACAACTATAGGCTTAGGCTCTTGCATAATTTATATGCCCAGGACTCCAGTGTTACCTCCAGGTTCAATCACTCACATTGTTTTGTAACTTAGGATACCTACCTGGTTTATATTCTTAATGAATTGGCTGGAAACTCCTTTATGATATTCTGCAGTACCTGTAACAATACTCAGAGAACAGCTTTGCTACTCCGAAACCTTGGATTCACTGCCATCCCCCTGCATGGACAGATGAGTCAGGTAAAGATTCTTTGGCATTATTAGTGGTGGACTGGTGGCATGAGAAAAGTAAACATAGAGCAGTAAGTCTGTACAATAACAACGTCAGTGCATCCTCCTAGAATTATTCTGATTTATGGGCCTTAAAGTGTTGCTCTGGATGGTCACTTCCTCCTTTCAGGACGGCAGAAGGTCCAGATTAGAAGATTTCATGGTTATTTGTCCGATATGGAAGCTCTTGAGTTGATTTATTCAGCCCTAGTGGTAATAAGTGATTCTTTGGTCTCAAAAGATTTTTAATAAATTATTTTTTACTCTTTATCATGTCTTGTTTTTTTTTTTTAAGATTTTATTTATTCATGAGAGACACATACATAGAGAGAGGCAGAGACATAGGCAGGGGGAGAGGCAGGCTCCATGCAGGTAGCCCGATGTGGGACTCGATTCTGGAACCCCAGGATCACACCCTGAGCCAAAGGCAGATGCTCAACTGCTGAGCCACCCAGGTGTTTCTACTCTTTATCATGTTAAATTATCCTTAATGTTAGTATTTTTCTAGCCTTAGTCTTAAATATTTTTTTGTTGCTTCTATGTTTACTTTTGACCTGTGAATCTGTCTCTCTTCTTAAATTTATTGTTCCTAGAGTGTATGACTTAGATTCTAAGATTCCTTAACTTTCCCAGATTAAAGTTCTTTTCATTTCTTTTCATCATCTCAGAGCAAACGCCTAGGATCCCTTAATAAGTTTAAGGCAAAGGCTCGTTCTATCCTTCTAGCAACTGATGTTGCAAGCCGAGGTTTGGACATACCTCATGTGGATGTAGTTGTTAACTTTGACATTCCTACCCATTCCAAGGTGAGTCTTGTCGCTGACCTGACAGTCTAGTCTCACAGTGTATTTCTTTCTTTTTCTTAAATTGAGGTATAATTGACATATAACATTAGTTTCAGTTGTACACCGTAATGATATGATATATGCACATATCATAAACTGATTGCTACAAATTTAGTTAATATCTGTCACTATACTTGGGTACGAATTTTTTTTTCCCCTCGGGATGACAACTTTTAAACTGTACTCTCTTAGTGGCTTTCAAGTGTGTGATAGACTGTTACTAACTATAGTCACCATGCTATACTTTACAGCCCCATGACTGACTTATTTTGTCACCTGAGGTTTTGTTTTTTGATTTCCTTCATCCAGTTTTATATCCCCTACCCCCATTATTCCCACCTTTGGCAGCTATCAGATATAGTCTCTGTATCATGAGCTCAGTTTGTTGTTGTTGTTTTCTTTTTAGATTGTACATACAAGTTAGCTCATGCAGTATTTGTCTTTCTTGGACTTATTTCACTTAGCATAATATCCATAGGGTCCATCTTTTGTTGCAGATGGCAAGATTCAGTTCTTTTTTTATAGCTGAATAATACTCCATTGTATCTAAAGTGTATTTCTTTTTTCTTTCTTTCTTTCTTTTTTTTTTTTAAAGATTTATTTATTTGAAAGAGAGTGAGTGAATTGGGAGAGGAGCAGAGGGAGAGGGAGAAGCAGATTCACCACTTAGCAGAGAGCCTGACACAGGGCTCAGTCTGGGAACTCTGGGATCATGACCTGAGCTGAAGGCAGACGCTTAATCGACTGACCCACCCAGGCACCCCCAAAGTATATTTCTTAATGGAATGTTTTTATATCTCCTTAGTTGCAACATTATTTTATTTTATTTTTTGCCCTCAATTAATTATCAAAAACTGGGAAAATTCTTGATTTATTCATTCTCATTATTTTGCACATGCTTGAGAATGTGATATTAATGTGAATGAAGGTAGCCAAAGAGAGGTATTGGGGGCTTATAGCTAAAGGGGTAGATGCAGCATATGCTATTCTTTGTCAGTCTCATTTCTTTAGAACGATCAGCTTATGGTTCTTAGCATATCTCAGAGTTTTTCAGCCTTGGCACCATTAACATTTTGGGCTAGCAGATTCTTTGCTGGGCTGTCTTTTGCATTTTAGGATGCCTAGTGGCATTCCTGGCCTCTCCCCACAGGTGACATTGTGTCAACCAGGTAGGTTTGTTGACATTTCTAAATATTCCATGGGGAGGACAGAATTGCCCTCAGAACAACTAATATCTATTGGCTTTGTATTTAACTGCTGCCTCATTTGATTTTCACAATGACTCTGCGTTTGGGCATGGATTTCTAGCCCTGTTTTATAGAGAGAAACCAATTCAGAGACTCTGTGTGACTTGCAGACAGTTGTGTAGATGGTAGGACAGAGCCATGATCCAAGTCTGCCTCTAGATCCACTGCTGGTTTTCTCTAGACCATGTAGATACACGTTAGATTTGCGTTTTTGTAAAAGAAAAGAAAAAAGAACCAATTTGGTGCTGCAAGAAGAGGAAGTAGATTTATCTCAACCTATTGCCTAATCCATTTTTCAGTGTTTCATCATGAATCTGTTTTCTTTCAAAGGTTTACAATAAGACTTTATATTCATAGTTTTTTGTTTGTATTTTATATAACTCACACTTATTTATGCTTTTTGTTTCAGGATTACATCCATCGAGTGGGTCGAACTGCTCGAGCTGGGCGATCAGGAAAAGCTATCACCTTTGTCACACAGTAAGTGAGTTGACTTCAGGGGCAGAACAATGGAGAGAAAAGAACAGCTTTGAAGCCTTCTGACTTGGCACCTGACTTTGCCATTATCTCTACTAGACATTTAACCTCCCTCATGCTGTTTTCATCTTTTGTAAAATGGAAATAATAATACCTACCTAACAGGGTTTTAATGAAGATTGGTGATCCATATGTAAAGGATCTAGTATGGTATTTGGCATTATAGAAACAGAGGAAGAAGCCCCCTGCTGTTTCTTTCAGCTGCTGAAGCTGGAGCTCAGTGACCTTTCCCTCAACTCAAAAGTATTAGAGTAATTATTTTGGTTTTGTTTCTAAAGGAACAAATTTTTTTGTAACCAGGACTTTTCTGGGACTAAGAATATGATGGGTGATTATCTAGTGGGCTGTGTACAGAAGATTGCATCTAATCAGTATTCTGAAGAGTAATAATGAATTCAGTAGTGTTTAAAACTGGCTCTTGTTGCATCATATCACATAATGTATACTTTTGGAATGGACAGACATTTGTGTTGTCAGCCAACCAAAGCCATGCCATTTCCTGCCTCAGGTATGATGTGGAACTCTTTCAGCGCATAGAACACTTAATTGGGAAGAAACTGCCTGTCTTTCCAACACAGGATGATGAGGTTATGATGCTGACAGAACGTGTGACTGAAGCCCAGAGATTTGCCCGAATGGTATGCAACCTATTTTCTCATCAACTTAAATGCAAATGACGTTAGCTGTGTCTTAGACACTGTTGTATTAATCCTCAGAAGGAACCATAGGAACTGAGTATTATTTTATTCTAAAATTAGGATGAGCATACTAAAATATAGAGATGGTAGGTAATTTGAGTCAAGGTTTGGACTCAGTCTGACCACAGTGACCACATGCTCAGCCACTCTTCATGTTTCACATGTGGCAAGAAAACCTTTGGAGTTGAGATCAGAAAACCCAACTGTGAATTGAACATTGTAGGTTTGGGCAATGCATCTACCTCTCAGAATCAGTTATTTGCTTGAAAATTGGGAATAATAATTACATTGATACTGTAAAAGGGTTTTTTTTTTTTGGCACCAGATAAAGCTAATGTGAAATATATAGTTACTAATAATAAGTAGTAATTATGATCGTTGTAGGATGGATGGGAAGATTCTGAAGAGAACCCTATCAAGTACTGTCTGTTCTCTAGAGTTCCAGTTTGAGGGATAGGCAGCTCTGCCCCTGGGATGCTTTCTGAGTAGCTGGTGTGTGAGCTTGTTTTATTTTTCTGCTCACATGGAATTCTTTGGTATTTTGGTTTATAAAAGTATTCCATGTACATTGGAAAGAATTTCAGAAAATATAGAAAAGATTAAAATAACAAATGAAGCATATAAGCCACCCAGCACAGAGAACATTTGGCTATTTTTCTTTTTTCAGCCATACTTAGATCTTTATGTAGTTGTATATGATTAACATTTTTCTATTTTAACAAATAGAGAGTCATGTGATCACTTCTTAGTGGCTACAGAGAATTCCGTTATGAATATATAACATGATTTTACCTTAGTGCATATTTATACTTTTTCACGTGTTTTGTATTTTAACTGGTACCATGTTGGGCATTCTAGTATGCACAGCTTTTTGTTTCTTTAGAATAAATTCCTTGAAGTAGAATTGTTGGACAGAGGAGTAAATACAGTTAAAATTCAAATTCATATAGAATGCCAGATTTCCTGCCCCTCCCCTCTGAAAAGATATAGCAATTTACCCTGTGAACAACAGTATATGGGGATGTCTCCATACCTTGACCAATAGGAGGTGTTACCATCCTCTTAAATTTTTGCTGGCCTGTCATGTGAAAATAATAGCTTATTGTTTTAATTTTCATATAAACATTTTTGTGTATTGGAATTTTGGTCTTAGCCCTTTGCTAATATGAGGTATTAGAGAGTTACTTAGAGTTTTATTTTTTTTTAATAAATTAATTTTTATTGGTGTTCAATTTTCCAACATACAGAATAACACCCAGTGCTCATCCCGTCAAGTGTCCCCTCAGTGCCCGTCACCCATTCACCCCCACCCCCCGCCCTCCTCCCCTTCCACCACCCCTAGTTCGTTTCTTAGAGTTTGATTTTAAGGAGAGGAGACCAGGGATGTGTTTGTTACTTGCAGTGAGAGTAATTTTCACTCCTATCCTTTTCTTTTCTTGCAGGAGTTAAGGGAGCATGGAGAAAAGAAGAAACGTACACGGGAGGACGCTGGGGACAACGATGACACGGAGGGTGCTATTGGTGTCAGGAACAAGGTGGCTGGAGGAAAAATGAAGAAAAAACGAAAAGGCCGTTAATTTCTTTTATAAAGATTCAATTTCAGCCTTCTGTTCCATAAAAGGGGATTGTAGAAGAAAATGAAACTCCCACACAGGGAGTCTGACGGGCCTAATCCCGGGTCTCCAGGATCACGCACTGAACCGAAGGCAGCGCTAAACCGCTGAGCCATCCAGGCTGCCCAAGAAATAAAATGTAAAAAAAAAATATTGAGAATGAGTTTGGCAGAAGAGAAACTTTCTGTATATATCTTAATGAAAAGCACATTTTTCAATGATTGTGTTTCTTAAGTCGGAGTGGTGAGAAGTGAATAATAACCATCAGTACAATTCTCTGTGGTAGTCAGGTGTGGACTGCAGGAAGATCTTTATAGACATAAGGTGAGGGGTACATTCTGCCACAAATGCATCCAAGAGGAATGCCTGTGAATAAGGCATTTGTAATTAATTGTATAAACACATGACTTATTTTGTTGTTTAGTTTGCTCCATGTTTCATTGCTCTTCTTATGGTACATTGGAGCGAAGGTTAAGTTAGAGAAGTCAGGAGTCACAAAGAAATACGGAAAGGAGAGGAAAGTAGATGAGTGGGGCCACAGTTGTGACTTTGAGTTGCGTGTACCACTGGAGCTAATTCTTCCTGAATGTTGTATTTTTCCTGATGAAACTCTCCAGGGTAGCTTAGGATAATAGCAACTGTCTCTCTCTGAGCCTTTGGATAAAAGTGAATGGGTGGTTGCTGTTTCAGTTCATTGGAGGACTTCAGAAACAAGCTGACATTGAATTGGAGGGTGAGTGGTGGGTAAGGAAGAGATTAGAATTATCCTGAAGGAGTCTGAACTTTCTAAATAGGTCTCTCACATAGGATCTGTAGACCCCTATGTGTATGCCTATTTCTGGGGAAACCAAAAGGGTTAAAAACTAGTGCTCTAAAGCTTAGCCGTTGTCTCTAAAGTATATACGTAATTATGCTCTGCTAGGATGGGATGATAGGACACTAAGCAAAGACATGAATGATATGATGTGTCTTTAAGCATATTAGTAGGTCCGGACCATAAGCTAGAGTCCCACATAGGATGAGTAAAGATGTTACCGTGAAGGACAGGAGGCACAGAAATAAATAATTGTGATTTGTTAGTGAATAAGGATAGACCAGTGGGTTTGTACCATTAATCAGATGTGTTCTTGTTCCCTTATCCTCCGAGGCAAGGTCTTGCGAGATCTTGCTGCTAAAACCCCAATCAAGGTGTGTGTGAGTTTCCTAGGGCTGCCGTAACCAAGTACTACACATTGGGTGGCTTAAAACAAATTTATTGGTTCTGGAAGCTAGAAGTCTTAGATGAAGGTGTCAGCAGGGCCTGGCACCATCTGAAACCTCTAGAGAAGTCTCCTTCCTTGCCTCTTCTAGCTTCTGGTGGTTGCCAGCAATCCTTGGTGTTCCTTGGCTTGTGGCTATTTAACCTCTGTCTTCATCTTTAATTATATAAAGATAACTTCTTCATGTGTCTGTGGCTTCACCTAGCCTTCCTCTAAGGATTCTAGTCATTGGACTTAGGATGGATCCTAATCCAGTATGACCTCGTCGTAACTAATTATATCTGCAAAGACCCTATTTCCAAATAAGGTCACATTCTGGAGTTCCAGGTAGACATGAATTTTGGGGAGAGATTATTCAATTCAGTACAGACCCATCTTTTTAAACTACTATGTTGTTTGGGATTTAAGACTGTCTTGTGGAATAGAAGTGGTAGAGATAGAGTTGATTACAAAGAAAGTAGAGGGCACCTGGGTGGCTCAGTGGTTGAGTGTCTGCCTTTGGCTCAGGTCTTGATCCCAGGATCCTGGGATTGGGTCCCCGAATTGGACTCCCTGCAGGGAGCCTGCTTCTCCCTATGTCTCTGCCTCTCTCTCTCTGTGTCTCTCATGAATAAATAAAAATCTTAAAACAAAACAAAGAAAGTAGAGAAAAGACAGAACGTAGGTATTTAGAAATGGCTAGAATGGGTGGAAGCCTAGTTTAAAATGAAGGATACCTGGCTGGCTCAGTTGGTAGAGCATGCAACTCCTGATCTCAGGGTTGTAAGTTTGAACCCCATGTTGGGTGTAGAGATTATTTAAAATCTTAAGGAAGCTTAAAATGTTAATTCTCTTAAATGAAATATAAATTATCTTTGCAGTCAAGGTACCAAAGGCTCTAGTTTCAGGGGAAGGGAGGGTGTTACTGGCCTTTCTTCTGTTTCTTTCTTGGTGTAATTCCTTAGTTCTGCTTTCCTGATTTAAGAAACAGAGCTTTGGGGCACCTTGGTGGCTCAGTTGATTGAGCATCTGACTCTTGATTTTGGCTCAGGTGATGATCTCACGCTATCTTGTAAGATTGAGCCCCATGTTGGACTCCGCGCTGGGGTGTGAGCCTTTTTAAGACTCTCTCTCCCTCTGCACACCACCCGCTCCACCTCTGTGTTCCCTGCCCCCCACCACTCCCACACTCATTGCTCTCTCAAAAAAAGAAAAACCAATCAACCTCACCCTTTCCCCAATGGCAAACAGTTCCCACACCTAACTTGCATGACTTCATAAAGGAAGTAGCTTATAATAGTCATGTAATGCTGGCCCAGAGAAGGTTTTCCCCTTATTTCTCATCTGAGTCACGAAGCCACTTAATATAGTCATTGTATCATGGCTTCATGATGCTAGCTAGCCTGGTTTTACTTCCTCTGTCCAGAGCTGAAGTGAGATGAAAATATCTCTACCTCATGAAGGGGTCCAGGGATCCTAGTGACAGGGTTTCAGTTGGGTCGACCATTGCAGGCTTAAAGCAGGCCCAGAAATCCATGTACTCTGGAACTTAAGGGTACTCTGAACATACTCCAGCAGTTGCCAGGAGGGGTCTCAATTCAACTAGTTTACAATTACTCTTAGTCCCTTAAAGATGTGCTGAATATCCTAGAACTTGGCTGACTCTGTAAAAACATCTGGCTTACAGCCAAAGTGAATTCTGGGTAGCTTCCTACCTGCAGATATCCAAAAAGCTAAATCAGAGACTGTCTACCCCAGCTCCTCCAAAGCCTGGGAAAGGGAACCAGAAAGAACTACAGGCTGTGGCATTGGTCACAGAAAATGAAGGCATCCAAGTTATCAAAAGCAGGTATCAAAATAACATCCAGAAAGTATGTTCCAAGAACTTGAATACAAAATTAGAGAATATACAAAAAGTTTTGATCCACCTAGTTTTTAAGGTGAAATCTAGCCTCAGGGCAGATAATAAATGAAGGTGTGAGTCATCTCTTCAGTTGGAATGACAAGAGATCCAGACCTTGGCACTAGAGATTCAAGGGTTATCCACACCCACATTCCTTTTCATGCCTCACCTGTCCAAGGTATGCACTAAAACTCCAGCTAAAAATAACTATAGAAATTCGATCTCTGGGAAATAGCACTAAACAGTAACCCTAAAGTGAAGAGCTGGTTTGTGCCAAATGGAAGAGGGAGAGACAGGAAGAAAATGGGCTCATGTGGGACCATGTAATCTCCAGGATGTGAGCCCTGATGTCCGTTGGTATTCTTGGAAGGTTTTATCTGCTCACAGCCATCCCTCCACCTATTAACCTACAGGTGCCACCTAGGAGCTGGTAGAAACCAGAAGGATGGGGGAATGCAGCGGAGGGTGGGCAAAATGTTAGTCAAGAGACCTGTTGACTCACTTTGTGACCTTGTAGGAGTTACTGAACTTTGATTTCTCTCCTTTATTTTTTTTTAAGATTTTATTTATTTACTCATGAGAGACACAGAAAGAAAGGTAGAGAGAGATATAGACAGAAGGAGAAGCAGGTTCCATGCAGGGAGCCCGATGTGGGATTTGATCCTGGGACCCCAGGATCACGCCTTGAGCCAAAGGCAGATGCCCAACCACTGAGCCACCCAGGTGTCCCTCTCTCAAATCTGCTCCTTGGGCAAGTTATTCAACTATTTGTGTTTCAGTATTATCTGAAGAAACGCAGATAACAATAGGCCAACCTTCGAAGGCTGTGAGGCTTAAATGAGGTAGACTGGCTCATCATATGATTAGTATGTGTTAGCCATTATAAATATGTTATTGGGGGCGCAGGGACCAAAAAATATATAAGTATGTTATTGTTACTATTATTACAGAGGGAGAGTGGCTAAGTAGCTTGCCTAGGTCAAATGGCAGGTAAAGGGCCAAGCAAAATTTGGTTTCAAGACTCTACCCTTGATACTACATACACTGCACGCGCGCGTGCGCGCGCACCGTGTGTATGTAACTTCGCATTATTCATTCAGTAAGTGCTTATTGAAGGAACAATTGTACCATGATAGAATATATATTTTTTTCTTCTGGAAACATTTCTTCTACCAGCAAATAAATATTAACCTAAATGAGCTTTCAACTTTACAACCTATTTGCAAATTGGGAGGGAATATGGTGGGAGAATATGACATTTTCATTTCCACCAGTAGATGGCAGAAAAAAGAAAAGATACTTGTGAATGGGCAGGAGTTCTCAATCTGAGCAGAATGAATAATCATGAGACCCATTAGAAGTGCTCTTGGTGTCATGTCTGGCCCACAGTGACTAAGGGATGGAGGTCAGCATGGGTATGAGAACTTCCCACAGGTATTTGAAGGATGACAGCCTTCAAGAAAATTCAGGCTGACCCACAGGATGGGCCGTGGGAGACTCAAGTACACAGAAGTTCAGATGTAGTACGAAGAAAAAGTTGCCTTCTCTTCTCTCTGCTCCACAGCCATAGTCAGCCTTCCCTCCTTTTCCTCTTACAAGCAGCTTTGTTCTTTCCAAAGTCTGCCCTTCCTTGGGATTTTGATGAAGTCACTTGCCCTCTGTTTATGCCTCACCCCCCACCCCAGCCTGTAACCTGTGGGTAATTGTTATTCCACCCCCACCCCCACCCCAGTACAGGTTTTTTGTGTTTACAAACATAAATTCTCTGAGCCATTGGTCTCTTTCTGTTGTATCCCTCTCTCTCACTGCATATCCATCTGGTAAGCTTTGCCTATTGCCTCCCCTCCTCCCTTGAATCAGCATGGTGCTGGTTAGCTGGTGAGCCACTTCTGCATCCATTCTGTCCTAGAAAGACATCTTGCAGCTCCCAGTGATGAGGAACTGTCCCTCTGGTTCCATGAGAGTAGGAGAAGCAGTCAGGCATGGTGGTCAGAAACACCGGGCTAACCCTG